GGGCCCCCCCCAGCGTGGAAACCAGCACCTTCCTCCCATCAGCTTCACCCAGCGGGGGCTCAACACAGACGCTGAAGCCAGGAACCTCTCGGCCGATGCCCCCTGGGCCCAGCAGAACTCCCCAGACCTCAGGTAGCCCCGCTCATTTGCCCCAGAGTTGCCCATCTATTCCCTGACACTTACTGTGGGGGGTCCTGGGAATCCCTGTAGGGCAGGGCCCACCCGGGGCGGGGGAGACCCAGCCTGACCACACTGACCATGAAATCCCAGGGGGTTTGCTCTGGTCTGGGCAGAGAGCTGTTCTGGGGCCCCCAACAAGGTAACCTGGGGAAGGTGTATGGAGGACGGGGTAGAAGCCAGATTTGGGGTCCAGCGGGCCTATAATTCCAGGCTGTTCTCTTCAGGGGCCCCAGCACTGCCTTCATGGTCCCTCCTATGGTGCTGGGCCCCCGCCCCCCCCCACCAGGAGCTGGTGGGCCTTGACCCCCATCTCCCCTCCCTCCTTTTGGCAGCCTCCTCAAGGGCCCCGGGAACACACAGCTCCTCGGCAGGGCGGTGGGCGGCGGGGGAGTGGTACCACGCTCCAGAACCCCAGCCCTGGTGGGACACGCGGTCTGGCTTGTTGTCACGGTGTCCAGAGCGTGGGGCAGGTCTGTCTGGGAAGTGCTTGGGGTGCTGATGGTCAGTGGGTGGTGTTGCTCCCAGGGCCAGCCCAGACTGGAGGAGGCAGCACTGCGGGGACCCCCGGGGACGGCGAGCCAGGTGTCGGTGCGGCCGGGGACCAGCGCTTCACTGTCGTGGACATGGCAGCCCTGGGCGGGGTGCTGGGCGCACTGCTCCTTCTGGCTCTGCTCGCCCTCCTCATCCTGGTCCACAAGCACTACGGCCAGCGGCTCAAGTGTTGCTCCGGGAAAGCTGTGGTGAGGCCCTGGGGGGCTGGGGTCCAGGACTAGAGAGGGAGAGGGAGAGACAGGCAGGTGAGGACAGAGCCAAGGAGAGGGAGAGAGGGGGACAGAGAAGGGGCAGGAGGAGGAGCAGAGGTGAGGAAGGCTGGGGTATAGTCCACACAATGGGGAGGAGGCCGAAAGAGGCAGAAAGGAAGGACTAGCCTGGGTCCTTGTCTTTGGGGTGGGGGTCCCGGCCCAGGCCTGGGGTCCTGGTTGAGGCCCTGGCTGTCTTTCTCCCCTCTGCAGGAGCGCCAGCCCCTCAGCTTTGACAATGAGGCCTTTGACGCCCCCCAGGAGGCCAACTGGGCGCCAGCTCCCCACTCCTCCCCCGGTCTCATGCGGGCGGCCCCGGAGCCCGCGGAGACCCCAGAGCCTGCGATCCTGGAGCCCCCCAGCACCACGACCCTGCGTCCAGCCTCAGAGTCCCCCGAGCTGACCCGCGATGGAGGCAGCCCAGCGGCCGTGAGGTCCATCCTGACCAAGGAGCGGCGACCTGAGGGCGGCTACAAGGCGGTGTGGTTCGGGGAGGACATTGGGGCTGAGGCCGACGTGGTGGTCCTCAACACGCCCGCCTCGGACGCGGCTGGCGCCATCGATTCTGGCAGCGAGGCCAGCAGCGACGAGGACGCAGATGCCGGTCCCCACGCCGATGACACGCCTAGCACTGGCTCCTCCTACATCTAGCTCGGCTCCCTGCCTCCCCCGTGGGCAGGACCTGATGTCTGCTGGCCGCTGGCCCCCACTCCAATGCGCACAATAAAGCGACAGTTTCCAAGTTCGGCTGCATGAGAGTCAGTGGCCAGGCCAGCCAGGGTCCCTCCCGGAGCTGCTGGCCGTGGGAGGTGACGGTACATCCCATCCCTGGCCCCGCCCCCGCCTGGGCCCGGTGGCACTGGGGCTTCCCGTAAACCACGTGCTGCGCCCGCCCGCAGCGGGCCTTTCCACACTAGCACCAGCTGGAGGCCTCAGTTCCTCTTGAGGCCTGACCGCGGGGGCGGGAGGGGGGCCTGCACTGCGGGGCCCCCACCTCCCCAGCTGACACGGAGATTCTTGACCTGAAGGAAAATGAGGCTCTCCAAGATGGAGAGCAAACTCCCTGGAGACCTCGCAGGGGGTGACAGCCAGTGGGCCTGTGAGGTCCCCTGTGGGCAGTTAACGCTCGGTGCGAGGAGGCACCCCGTCCTGGCTTCCGGACTGTCACCTGTGGCTTGGTGCATGGGCTTGCCCGAGTGACGCGACTGGGAAGCAATGGCTGCAGGCCATGGGCGGGGGAGGAGGATTGTGGCAGGTGGACCCCCGCTAGGAGGGGCACCAGAGCCACAGAGTGGGGGACAGAGCCTCCTCTGCTGGCCTCACCAGGGCAGGACCGCAGGCTGGACTTCCTCCCTGACCCCCTCCACACTGTCCCTTGTGGGTCCTCTGAGTTTTTCCTATGAAAAGCCACCTCGAACTGCTTTCCAAATGTCTTATTCTCAAGGGTATGAGTATTCTTGTCTGAACAATTCTCATTAAGATTTCAAAGGCGGAAGGGTGGGGGCACCTGGTTGGCTCCGTGGGTCACCCGGGGACTCTGGATTTCCGTTCAGGTGGTGATCTCAGGGTCTGGCTTCCAGCCAGGACGGGACTCTGCACTCAGTGGGGACTGTGCTTGGAGACCCTCTCTCTCCGTTCCTCCCTTCTGCTTCGTGCCTGCAAGCTCTCTCTCCCACAAATAAATCTTTAAAAAAACCCCAAACCAGCAGTGTGCCTAGTGGCTTAGCCGGTGGGGCACCCCACCTTGCTCTCAGCGGGGGGTCTTGACGGTGCGATCCCGCGGTTGGAGCTACTCTGGGCCGGAGCTACTTAAAAAAAAAAAAAAAAAATCCAAAGGGCAGGGCTGCCCCTTGGCCCACGCTCTCCTCCACGACCCACTTCCCCGGGGAAGAGAAGAGAAGATGTGTGGGGTCTTCAGTTCACCCCACTGCCTCCCCACCCCCACTAGTTGCCAGTGGCCCCCTGACCCGTCCCTGCGTGTGCGGGGCCGCGTGCTCCTTGAGGGAGAGGAGTGACTGGACCCCGTAGGACCGGCCAGTCCCGCCGCCCTTGCACGACCCCCGCCCGCATCCGGGAGCCTCCGCGGGGGCCTGGGGAACGCGTCCCCCCAGCACACAGAGGACCCCGCCGCCGGAGCACGAGACTTCCTCGGCTGCACCTGCAGCCCCGCCCCGCCCCCCGTTCCCCCCCTCCCCGGCCCGTCCCCATAAAAGCGCGCGTTCCGGCCGCTCCGGGAGACCAAGCTTCCAGCCCCGGCGTCCCGGCGCGCGGGTCCTCGGAGCCCCGGCGCGTGCGGAGCGCGAGCGCAGAGAGGCGCGGGCGCGTCGGGAGGGTCCCGCGCCCGGAGTCGGGCGGGACGGAGAGGTGGGGGTCGTCCCGCTGACGGGCCGCGGGTGGCGAGGGGCGAGCGGTCCCGGCTTCGGCTTAGGTTTCGCTTTCCCGGCGCGCGGTTTCGCTTTCCCGGCGCCCGGGGCGCGCCCCAGCCCGCGGCCGCCCCCGCGGTGTCTCCGCAGGGGGCCCGACGGCGCCCTCCCGCCCGGGACTGGGCGCCGGCTCCACACCCGGGACCCCCGGCGCCCGCGCAGCCCCCCGGGAGCCCCGCGCTGTGCTCACCCCTGCGCCACCGCCGCCCAGAGCCCGCACCTTGGCAACATCGTGGCCGGCGGCCCTCTGCCGCGTCTGGGGTCCCCGCACGTGGAGCGCCTGCGCCGCACCGTCCGTGGGCACCCGCGAGCCACGCTTCCCGCCTGCGGCCGTGACCGCCCCTCCCGGCGGAGGCCCCTCGCGCCCCCGCGCCCCCCGCGTCGGTCCTGCGCAGCGAGCGATGGCCGCGGCCGCTGACAGGTGAGCCCCGGTCCCACCCCGGCTGCGCGGCCACTCCGCTGGCCGCCCGCACCCTCACCCGCCGGCCACCCCGCCCGCAGGAGGCCCCCGCGCCTGCTCTTCGGAGACTGGCTTCTGGGGGAGGTCAGCAGCGGCCGCTACGAGGGCCTGCGGTGGCTGGACGCGGCCCGCACGCGCTTCCGCGTGCCCTGGAAGCACTTCGCGCGGAAGGACCTGGGAGAGGCTGACTCTCGCATCTTCAAGGTGGGACCCCCAGCGCGGCCGGGTGGGAGGGTCGGCTCAGGGCCTGGCCCGCGCCCCCATGCTCACTCACACCGTCTGTCCCTCTCCCCAGGCCTGGGCGGTGGCCCGCGGCAGGTGGCCGCCCAGGAGCAGGGGCGGCAGGGGCGGAGGCGACCAGCTGGCCCTGGAGGGCACGCTCCGGGCCGGCTGGAAAACCAACTTTCGCTGTGCGCTGCACAGCACCCAGCGGTTTGTGATGCTGCAGGACAACTCAGGGGACCCCGCCGACCCGCACAAAGTGTTCGCGCTCAGCTTCGAGCCTGGGGAGAGAGGTGAGGAGCCCCCGGGCCGGGGGAAGGGGGGCGGCAGCTGTGGAGGGGGCAAGACCTTTGGGGCAGAGATTGGGGCTGGGAGGGCACTGGGATTCTGCTCTCCACTGGACAGACCCCGTGGCAGAGCCGTGCTTTCCAGAAACTGGCCTCAGAGAGGCTGGTGCCAGGTTGTTGGGGGAGGGCAGGGAGAGCTGATTGGGACTGCTGGGATTAGTGGCGGGAGCCCCCAAGCGTCCCACTCCACAGAGTCTCATCCCACACGGCCCTGATCCCAATTCTCTCTTGGAAGGTGCGGGCACTCAGCAGGGGGAGATGGCCCTGGACGACGCCCTGCCCCGGACGGTGAGCCTGCTCAGCCCTCCTTGTTCCCAGATGGGGGCTGCCACTCTTCCCTGGGGCTGGGGAGCTGCTGACACCGGCCCCTCCTCCCCTGCAGGGTGGGCTCCTAGGACCATGCCTGGCAGGAGACGCTGCTGAGAGGCCAGGGCTTGGGCTGAGCCCTGAGCTTGGCGCCCCAAGCCCCCCTTTTGGCGTAGCCGACAGTGCTGGGGACCTCTTGCTCCAGGCTCTGAAGCAGAGCTGCCTGGAGGCCCACCTGCTGGAAGCTGCATGGGTGGGGGACCCGGTGCCCCCAGAGGCTCCCGGTGAGAGGCTGTGTCGGTGGGGGTGCTCAGCCTTGCAGGGTTTCATGCCGGGGGTGGGGGCGGGGAGGAGCAGGCGGGAGGGCAGAGTCCAAGAGGAGAGGGAGAGGCTGGGGGTGGGGGGGAGTGAGGAGGACAGCCCGTGGAGATGGAGCCTGCCACAGCCGGGCCTGTCCGGCCTGTCCGGCTGCTCCCAACGGCGCTTTTTCCTCCTCAGGCCTGGAGCTCCGGAGCACAGAGCCGTCCCTGCCAAGGGCAGGAGACACGGCCCCTGTGCACCAGGCGCAGGAGACAGGTGAGAGCCGGAGGTCTGTGCGGGAGTGAGGGCCTGGAGGGCCAGGTTTCAGCTTGGGCCTTCCTCCCCAAATGCAGGCCTGGCCCCGGTCCTGGAGCCCTGGCAGCCTCCACCAGATGTGGAGCCTTGCCCCGGGGTGGCTGCTGAGCCTGGATCACAGGGAGAGCCCAGCCTGAGGGCCCTGGATGTGACCATTATGTACAAGGGCCGCACAGTGCTGCAGGAGGTGGTGTGGCGTCCAAGCTTCGTGTTCCTCTATGGATCCCCAAGCCCAGCCACCACGGCCGCTGAGCCCCAGCATGTGGCCTTCCCGAGCCCGGCCGAGCTCCCTGACCAGAAGCAGCTGCACTACACCGAGAAGCTGCTGCAGCACGTGGCCCCGGGACTGCAGCTGGAGCTCCGGGGCTGTAGGCTGTGGGCCCGGCGCCTGGGCAAATGCAAGGTCTACTGGGAGGTGGGAGGGCCCCTGGGCTCTGCCAGCCCCTCCACACCCCCCTGCCTGCTGCAAAGGAACCAAGACACCCTCATCTTCGACTTCAGCACCTTCTTCCGAGGTCAGTGATGCACCAGACTTGGGGCCGCGCCATCCCTGCCCGCTCCCGTCCTGCCAGGGACCCCCGCTCACCGGAGTCCCCTCCTGCAGAGATGATGGAGTTCCGGGCTCGCCGGCGTCTAGGCTCCCCGCACTACACCATCTACCTGGGTTTCGGGCAGGACCTGTCAGCTGGGAGGCCCAAGGAGAAGAGCCTGGTCCTGGTGAAGGTGAGGCTTGGGGGTCCTGGGAGGCAAGGCCGCACACAGCCCCCGTCTGTCCCGTCCTGTCTGTCCTGACGACACCCTCCCCACAGCTGGAGCCGTGGCTGTGCCGGGCGCACCTGGAGTGCGTGCAGCGAGAAGGGGTGTCCTCCCTGGACAGCGGCAGCCTTGGCCTCTGCCTGTCCAGCTCCAACAGCCTCTACGAGGACCTGGAGCGCTTCCTCACAGAGGTGCAGCAGCCCGCCTGAGGGCCGGCCCGTCTCCGAGCCAAGAAAAAGGCCTCAAGAGTCAGTGCTGGTGTCCTGCGCAGGGGTGGGCTTGGGCTCAGAAGGGGCAGCACACTTCCGGGAGCCCCCAACACCTCCAGGCCCAGGACGCGAGGCCACCTCCCTGCCCCCACCCACCCTCCTCGGTCTTCACAATGAAGAAACAGGCCACACGCTTTAGAGCCAACAAACTCTACTCAAAGAATACAAAACGCTCCGGGGACAGTAGGTATCTGCCCCTGCAGGTGTGCTGGGGAGGAGACACCACGAATGGTCGACTCTGTGCTGTGTGCAGCCCCCTCCCCGCCGGCTTCCAGACCCACCGACACTGCGCTCTGCTCGTGGGAGGCAGCAAACACGAGCGTCACTTACAGAGCGTAACAGAGGGCTGGGCATGGCCTTCCCTTGTTACTCCAGAAAATAAAATCAGGCCATCGGTGAGAGGGGTCAAGGAGCTCCTTCCACCCGCCAGGCCCCTCCTGATCACCAAAGCCTCTGACTTTCAAGTACTGAGTCAATCAAGAAGTTTCTAAAGATAATCCATTTTTGATAAATTAGAACACAATGGAAACTGTGTATCTATAATATACATATAAAAAGGTCCAGTTTGAAACTGAGCAGGACAAGTGCGCAGGGCGCATGTGGTCGCGGAAGCCCTGATAGCGGAGTGCTGGCCGGCTGTCTTCTGAGGTCTCTGCTTCTGCCGTCCCCAGCTGAAGCGCCAGGGGCGGCCTCAGCTCTCCGGGCCCTGGGCGGGCGCCTCCTCCCCAGCCTCGGGCCTCCGGTGCCGGCGCATGTGTCGGTATTTGTCCACGTAGGCCTTGACCAGGTTGCCCACCTTCACAGGGTTGATCTCCCCACTTTTGCTGTGGCATATCTGGGGGCGTGGGAGAGGGGCACACATGACCCAGATGTCCCCCCAGGGGTCACAGGCACTGAGCACGACACATCCCCCTGCCGGGGCCGCCTCTCATGCCTGCTGAGGGCCCAGCCCCTGGCCAGACATGTGTGGCCGTGGGCCCCAGATTTGGCTCCAACGCCCTGGGCCCGAGAACTGCCCTCAGGCTCCGGCTCTCCCACCTGCGGGAGCAGTGCGTCCGTACCTCCTGTCTCTCGCCCGCTGAGCAAGGGACGGGGGCGCCGTCCTGTCCCCTCACCAACACCCACGCTTCCTTTTCCCGAGCATCTGAGCTCCCGACAGGAAGACAGAAGCGGCTTCCGGCCGTTGGCCCCTCCCGCGCGCACCCACCTTCTGCACAGCCTTGCGCAGGATGTCCTTGTACTCCTCCTTGGTCACCTCCCGCTTCTGGTAGAAGGGCTTGATGGCCAGCTTCACCTCCTCGACCGCCCGCTCCTGCACCTGCAGCTTCTTCATGTACTGAGAGCAACACGGGGGTGACCGTCAGGCCAGGGGCCGCGCCGCCAGCCCCCGCTGTGGGGCCCGGGGCCCACACTCACCTCCTCATTCTTGGCCTTCTCCGCGGCAGGCCTGGGAGCCGCTGCCCTCTCCTCGGAGTTGCTGGCGCTGGTGCTGTAGACGGCCGGCTCGGAGGCTGTGGGCAGGGCGGGGGGCCCCGGGGCCGGGCTCTGTGTGACCCCGCAGCTCGCCAGGGGAAGGCTCCCGTGTAGGATGTACTGCACCGCGGGCTGGCCAGCTGCTGCGTACGGCGGGAGACTCACGGGCAGAGCTGGGGCAGGAGGCAGGTTCGGGGTATAAACCTGGACAGAAACACGCACGGTTCAGGGTAGCGCTCCTCACTGCCACAGCAAGAGCCCCGGCCAGAGAGGGGAGTCCTCGGCCCCCGCCCGCACCACGTCGCTCCAACCCAGGCACCCACCTGAGAGGGCTCCGCCTCGGGGAAGCCAGACTCTGGAAGCACGTAACCGGCGGGAGGGGGCTCAGAGAAGGGTGCCTGCTGGAACCCCACCGAGGAGCCCATGTCTTCGGTTTCCCAGACCCCTTCCCGGGGCTTCTGGGGCCTGTGGAGCGGCATCCCTGAGGGCCAACACAGGGGAGGGTGAGTGCTCTTGGCCTCCCTGGGCCAGAAGCAGCTTCCCAGCTGGAAAATTCCAGAAAGGCATCCCAGCAGCAAGGACCACAGCCCAGGCTGCAGCCACCTCCCTGCCTTGTGGTCTATGCTGCCCGAGGGACCGAAGAGATCCATGTGCCACCCCCCCCCCTAGCCAAACACACAACCCAACGGACATCCCCCCGTGCTGCCCCGAGCCATGCCCGCGAGTGCCCGCAGGAGCGTCCTACTCACGCAGGCCTGGGTCCGCGGCGGGGGCGCCACTCTGTGCCTCCTGCAGGTTCCACGTGACTCTCTTCACCAGAGCTTTAGCCCGTAGCAGAGGGGGCTGGGGGGGGCTTTCCTCCTTCCCCACAGGCACCCCGCCCACAACCCGGCTTCCCAGGGCACCGGGCACCACGGCGGCCCCAGTGGCCTCCTGCTGGAGCCCGGGCCTGTCTTCGGGGCCCTGTGCCCGGGGCGGGGCCTGGGTGGTGTCTTCACCGTGGATCGAGGATACCTCCCGTCGGATGACGGCCACGGCCAGGCTGGCGTCCTGCTGGTGCCGGCCAGCCGGCGGAATGGAAGGAGCGGGTGGGAAGTCTCGCTCTGGGGAGGAGTCTGTGCTCTCGGGGGAGGGAGGGGAGCTCATGTCCTCCAGCTGCATGAAGAAGGCTTCGCTTGAAAAATCCTCGAAGACGTGTCCTGCCTCGACAGAGTCACCGTAATCCAGGTCCTCGGGCAGATGGCCCGCCGGGGCCTCTGGAGCCATCTTGTGGGTTTCGGCCCTGGCTGGGGAGGCGTCCGTTCCTGCCGGGGCCAGTGGCCTGGCTGGCGGCTCCGGGTCAGGCTTCTGCTCCTCCTGGAGAACGGGCGCCAACTTCCTCTCTGGAGAGCGAGGCCTTGGCCGCCTCTCATGGGAACGAGGACGCTGGTGCTCCCGGGACCTGTGCTCTGTGCTTGGCGACCTCGGAGACCTGGATCTACGCTTCCTCCTCTCGTGTGAGCCCCACCGGGTTCGGGGCCGCTCCCGGCTCCTCTCTCGTGGGCTCCTCTCCCTTGGGTGCCGGTGCCTCCGGGCTCTCTCTAGGCTGCTGGGGGGTGAGCACTCCCATCCCCGAGACCTGGACCCTGACCGCCTCCGCTTCCTCCTCCTGCTCTCCCTGCGTTCGTGGGAGGAGCTGCCGGGGCTGCCTGAGCGGGACCTGGACCTCCGCCGGCCGTGACCCCAGGAGTCCCTCTTCCTCCTCCTGCCCTCATCCTTCGCCTTCTTCCGCTTGGCTCGCTCGTGGCTGCTGGAGTGGTCGCTGGAAGACCTCCGGCCCCGGGACTTGGTCTGCTGCCTCTTGGGGTGGTCGTCCCCTACCAGGGGCGACACAGACCGTGAGCTCCTGTCCCCAGAGCGGGAACCTGAGCGGGAGCCTGAGCGGGTCCTCCTGTGCTCCCTGGACGTGGCTCGCTTCCTCTTGGCTTTCTTCCTGCCACGGGAGCTGGATGTGGAGCGAGAGCACGACGGGGACCTCAGCTCCACGATTCTGTGGGTGGTCGTCTGTGGTGCATCAGGGCTGGGTGGGGCCTCTGGCTCGGCTACAGTCACACACGTCACCATCCGCTCCTCAGAGCCAAAGAAGGTACTGCAGGGCAGCTGGCCCTTGTCCTCCCACGGCTCTGGGGGGGGGGGCCTCTGTGCCCGGGAGGCTGAGCCCTGACCCTCGCCCAGCCCCTCGCGCAGCCCCTCGCAATCCAGGTCGGAGGTCCCCTCGGCAGCCCCCTCGACCCGCAGCTCGAGCCCGCTGGAGGAGGGCCCCCGAGGGGGCTCGGGCTCCGCCCCCAAGACCGTCTCCACGGTGTAAGAGGTGACACAGCGCACTGTCTGCAACGCTGGGGCCTTTGGGCTGTCGATGGAGATGGTGCGTGTGATCTCAGACGGCAGGAGGCCAGAGCCCAGGTGCTCGGGGCTGCTGCCGGCGGAACTGGAGTCGGAGCCTGTGGGGTCAAAGGGGTCGTAGATCTCGCTCTTGAGCTGTTTGGTCTTCCTGATGGAGAACAGGGGTGAGGGGTTCTCCTTCCTCTGCACCTTATTGTCGACCGGCCGAAACGTGTTACAAAAGCCAGGGTTGGAGAGTCTGCCGGAATGTGCCGTGTTCCCGGGAATATTGATCCTGAAGCTCTGAAAGGTCGAGCTGACCCCCTTCCCCTTCGAGGGTCCCGGTGAGGCGGGGGACTGGGAGCCGCCCCCGGAGTGTGGGCCAGGGTCCTGGGGGCCCCTGTTGCTCGGTTCACCCTCGGCTCTAGCACCACGGCCAGGCTGCCCGGGGCCCTCCCTGCCCGTGAGCCGGCTGATGCAGGAACTGGGGATCTCCGCACGCTGCTCGCTGGCGGGCGCCGCGTCCGCCTGTCTGCCGCCGCTGTCCTCCCTTCTGACCTTTGGTATCCTTGGTAGCTCAGAGATGTCGGGCCTCCTGGGAGCTGGCTTCAGGGCCTGGCCCAGCAACGCCCCGGCGGGCGGCAAGTGACAGCAGCTACTGGGGGTCTTGGAGGACGCGGAGCTGGGAAGCAGAGCGCGCCGGCTGTCGCTATCACATCGAGTGTCGTCCCTTTGCTTTAAGCCAGGCCCGCACACGCCTGACAGGTTCTGAGTCTGACTGGACAGAGGGGTCACAGACGGGTCCAGTCTCACAGTCGCCCCAGTCCTGAGTGCAGGGACACGGGAGGGCGCTGGCCCGCCATGACAGCTCAGCCCCGCGCTCTGTGGCCCACCTCCTGAGTGCGGCGCTCTGGGTTGTAGGCAGGCCCCGGGCCCAGGGTGCTTGGGGCCTTGGGATGAGCCGCCTGTGCTCCGAGGGAAGGAAATGGGTGCTGGAAGACAAGAGGGTGAGCGGCCATCAGTCCCCGCCGGCTGCCTTCTCCAGTGCAAGCAGTTTGCCACCTGGCCCAGATCACAACGGCCTTCACCTAAAAGCTGTGCTTTTAACTGCCTATTCCCGGGGCACCTGGGGTGGGGGGGCTTAGTCAAAGTGTCTCCCTTTGGCTCAGGTCACGATCTCAGCCTCCTGCAACAAGCTGTGTGTCGGGCTGGGGAGCCTGCTTCTCCCCCTCCCTCTGCCCCCCGACTCCCTGGCTCGTGTGCCTGCTCTCTGGAATCAATGAATAAAAGCTTTTAAAAAGTCACAATAAAGAGATAAATAAAGGCCAGGTCCCCCTTAGCCCCTGACAGAGACCTCGGCGCACCTGGGGGTCTGGGCCAGGGCTGGTCTCACGTGCCACCACAGGCACTTCCTCATGGCTCTCACGGGTGTGCTCTGCACCCACGGAAAGTGTCCCTGCCAGTTACAGAGGCTTGTCATGGCAGGGGTGTGTGTGCGCGTGCACGCACCAGGGACAGGAAGGGCACAGCCAGCCCCATCCTCCATGGCTGGGGACCCCCACCCCAAAAACCTCCCAGGGCCCGGCTATGTGGGGGAGGGACCCACAGGGGCCGGCTCCGTGGCTGTGGGAACGCACACCAGCCACGTTACGGCCACAGAGAGTCTGTGGGCTGGTCCAGAAACCCCATCATCACCTCAACCCCCAGCCTGTGAACTCTTTCAGAAAGGCAGGTAGAATAGAAATAAGAAAACCGTGTCTCCTCAACGTCCATTCTGAGCAGAGAATGCGTTTTAGTTCAACTGTCTCCTTTACCACCGGCTCAGAGATAAGGAGAACCAAGGGGCTCAAGGGGGCCAAGGCAGAGAGGATGTCCCCATGGACGTGGCAGCCACCTCACCTGCCCTCTTGGCGCTAAGGGAGCCGTCCCGGTGGATGACGATGTCCGCCCCATTCATCATCAGCAGGCTCTGGCCCGACAGGATGCTCCCCACCAGGTCTGGGACGGGGGCCTCGTCCACCTCCGGCTCAGGCGCCGTGGCAGGAACACTCCTCCTGCTGGTACAGACCCACAGCTGCCTCCCTGTGCCCAAGACCCTCACGCCAGGCGGGAGCCCCCAGCCCCCCAGCGCCCTGCAAGTGGGCAGCATTGGACACAGCCAGCAGCCCCCAGAAAGAAAAGCAGGCTGTTCGGAGGTGAGATCATCTGATGCTTCTGACCCCAAATGCCCCCCAACAGTCCTGTGGTAAGGGAGGGTGTGCAGTGGAGGCCTCAAGTTCCACGGCTCCTCGCCCCCACCGCACGCCCAGACGCACTGCGGCACTTCCTCCCAGGCCAGGTGGAGCACCAGCCCCTGTGGAGCCCCGCCGGTCAGGGCCACCCCCCAGGACCACGGCCCCCTGCCCGCACATACCTGGAGAGCCCCACGGCCACGGGCCTGGCTACGGGCCGGTGAGAACGCAGCGCTGACTGGGACAGGACCCGCCTCTTGGCACTCAACGGGGATGCAGGGTTTGCAGACGGCTCTTCACTGCTGCAGAGAGCACGGAGGCCGAAGGGACGCTGACCCACACCATCGGAGGCCCAGGGAGACCCCAGGCCCCTCCTCGATGGCACATGCGGCAGCACCCGTGCCCCAAGTGGCACCCGGGCCCCATGGAGGGGCTTCACGCTGGCAACAGCCCGCTGGGTGTGCAAGCTGGGCCTCCTCCGCTCGAGCAGAGGCGGGTGCAGGGGGCTCCACCACACCTCGTGGCTCTAAGGAGGGGACCGCCATCGCCACCCTCGCCAAACGAACACAACGTCCGAGGTCACTGCCCACAAGGAAAGGAGGGAGGTCGCCCTGCCGTTACCTGTCAAAGGGGTCCAGCTCATAGGGGTCTCCAAAAAGCGACAGGGAGGCCACGCCGATGTCCGCACGCATCAGCCCCAGAGAGGGGTCTGCCGGCTTGTGCACAGACGGGATGCAGGCTCCACGGGCCGGACCCCGGAGGCCCAGTGTCCGTGCGATGCGGGAGCGAGCTGTGGCTTCATTCTGAACCGAAGTCACGAAAGGCAAGGAATGGTAAGCAAGACGGGAGCTGAAGGATCCAGAACCACCACCCAGGAGGCTGAGTAAGTATCACACGGGAGCCGAACGGCTTCACGTGCATTAACAACGTTGTAGAAGTTTTACTCCAACAGAGTTGACGAGCACATCTCGACATCCCCAACCTAACACACCGCAAAACTACCCGCAGGAGCTGGGCACAGCTGGTACCTTGCGCCGCGGGGGCGTCCGACCCTGCACACCCGGCACACTCCCGCACACCTGGCACCCTCCCATCGCTGTGGGGGGGGTCCAACCCTGCACACCTGGCACCCCGCCGCCGCGGGGGCGTCCAACCCTGCACACACACTGCCAAGCAGCACGACGGGCTGTCCAGGCGACGGCTGCCTACACACCTGAGGAGCAGCGCTGGGGGACCCACACCCCCACACGGCAGGTGTGCCACCAACCCTCCAGGACTTTCACATGGGTGGACCACCAGAGCAACTGCTCACTCTCATTGAAAGGGAAGCGTAGGCTCCGTAAGCGTGAGCTCTAGCACTCACGTCATCAGGCAACGACAAAGGTCTCAGGTGTAAGGTCACGTTCAGTCGCAACAAACACCTGCACGACGGCCACGGTGGGCTCGTACGTTTCACGTTAACGCGCTCTCAGCGCGGCTCATGAGCGCAAGGAGGACGACCCTTCAGAGCTGGGACACGTGACACAGGCAGCACACACACGAGGAAGGGCCCGCCCCGAAGCCTGCGGGTGAGAGAACCGGAGCACGGGGAACGGCCTGACGTGGGCAGTGCTCGCAGGGGACCCCCCTCGAGTCACCTCGGCAGGACAAGAGCGTCCCGGCCGAAAACATGGCCGCACGCCCTGGGTGGCATTCCTCCCTCAACTCGCCCACAGCTCCCACTGGGCTCCCGGGCACCAGGTGACCATCCGCCGGCCTCCCGGATGAGCTGCTGGCCACGGCCCTGAGGCCTCCAGACCTGCTGGGCCACCCAGGGCCCAACCCTGGGGTGTCAGGAGTCCTACGCAAGCCCTCGGGATGTCCGGCTCCAAAGGGTCCTGGGAAATCTCTCGTCTCAGCCCCATCTTTAATGTGTGCTGTGGAAATGTTCATTTCTATCGGTGGATCTCTAAGCAAATACAGAAAAAAGGAGCTTTTTCTGTGCGACCCGCCACCTAGCTGCACGAGGAAACTGACAGCACATGGGGAACGCTACCGTCCGAGGCTACCTTTGACTTTTTCCCTTTTCTCTTCCTCACGCGACCCTGGCGCTTCTTAGATCTCGTCCCGGAGCTTCTGCTCTTCACGGACGACCTGGACTGCGTTTTCCTTCTTCCCGACACTTTCTTCCGTCTTCCTACAAAAAGCACATTGAGAGTCTATGCTTCCCTCTGTGCCCCGAGCCCCCCGGCCCTGCCCCTGGGTGTCCCCCACCAAGGACGCACTCTGCACCCCCAGGACCTGGCATGAAGACAGTCACATGTAGAAACAGGTCGTAACTTCACCAGCATTTCTGCGCGGAGGAGTGAGGAGGGAAGGCGCGGCGGTGCAGAGCAACCTGCCAGGCCAACTTTTAAACCAGTGACTGTCCCACGTCATTTGTCACACACCAGAACGAAAGGAAAAACGAAGCTACCAGCCCTGATGACACAGAGCGAAGTGAAATGAGGGGCCCCAGGTACGCGGCCACCGGCGGTGACCCTGGGGCTGCTCCCGACAGATTGGGGTGTGGGGCACTGGCCGCACGGCTTCTGCAGCCCGTCCTCAAGACCAAAGTGCCCACACTCCGGGCTTCGGCCCTTGTCCGGCTCAGGGACGCTACCATGGGCTCAAGAAGGACCCTCATTCCAGGACGCCCCAGCAGCCCCTGGAACCCGGTGGGGGCTTCAGCCTGGAAGGAGCGGCCTCCGCAGGGACGGAGCGATGGGCCCTCGCGACGTCTGCAGGGAATAACCCCCCTTCCCCTGCCACGGCCCACGTGCAAACTCTGCGCCCTCACAGCCCTGCCTGAACTCCACCCAGCAAGTGACTAGCAAGCGAGCTTCTGCAAAGCAAACCCGGGCCTGGGGAAGGACCGCACCGCGGGGAGGCCTCTCCCTGCCTTGGTGAACCCAGCGGGCCCCACCTGCGCCCTCCGCCGGGCCGCTCGCAAACCCAAATCCAGTTGGACGAGAGTTTCGGGTGAAGCCGGGGGACCCTGTGGTTCTGCTCCCGGCCGCCACAGCGGGAGGGGAGCCTCGGCCCCCCAGTTGCCCCCAGAGTCAGGAGCTCCCAGAGCCACTCACCGGGCGCGGCCGACAGTGAAGCATGGATCTTGCCGGGCTCTGGATTCAAATAAACTAGGTTTTAAAATTCTATCACATTTATGACACAATTAGAACCCTCAACCCTGAGACTATCTCACGGCGTTAAGGAACCGCTACTTGACTTCTTGGGGTCACAAGGGTACTGTGCTGCAGCTCAAAGGAAAAAAGACGGCGTCTCTCAGAAACACACTGGAAAATACCTCCAGGTAAGAGGCCGATGACAAGAAAGATCTGCTTCAAGACAACACGGAAGGGAGCAGGTGAGGGGTACAAGTGAGGTCGAGGCCAGCGACACGATGGCGGAGTGGGGACTCGCTACGCATTTCTCCCTCTGCCTCCAAAGCTTTGCAGAAGTCTGCAAAAGCGAAAAATTCACTAACAAAACCAAAACAAAATGAAAATAGGAAACCAAAAAAGAACCCAAAACCAAGGTGCCTGGAGGGCTCAGTGGGTTAAGCCTCTCCTTCGGCTCAGGTCATGATCCCAGGGTCCTGGGATCGAGCCCCGCATTGGGCTCTCTGCTCAGCGGGGAGCCTGCTTCCTCCTCTCTCTCTGCCTGACTCTGCCTACTTGTGGTCTCTGTCAAATATATAAATGAAATCTTAAAAAAAAAAAAAAAAAAGAACCCCAAACCAAAAAAAAACTACCAGGCAAAAGGGAGCAAGCCAGACGCAAAGACAGAAGAACTGTTCTCCGCCGCATGAGCACAGGGAACGGGGGTGCGGCCTGTCCTCAGCAGGGTGTGCGCTGGGGACCAAAGCAAACCCTCCAGTCCTGCCTCGAACCACAGCGCTGGCAAGACCTGAGCTGTTATGAGGCTGTTCTCTGGGGGAGGGAGACGGGTGAGCAGGGGCGCCAGTGAGCACGGAACTGTGGAGTTTCTGACACAAGCACCTGCAGACGCAGATGAGACAATACAAAGCCCCATAACCTTCGTTCAGTCAAGTCACGGACTGCGTGACCTTAGCATGGATGTCCCGGTTCTGTCCACTAGAAAGGGCTGGAAAGGATGGCCCAGCCCTGGCAGAGAACACGCACAGAGCGCAGTCGCACGGTGGGGAGGCCCACGAGTGCAGGCTGCCCGCCCCCGCAGCTCCGCAAGCCGCAGAGCCAGACAGCATCCGGGTCTCGGCCCCAAGGTGGGGAACGCAGGGCACGGCAGGGCGTGTCACACACCCCGCAGGCACAGCAAGGACAGCGAGGACAGCCGACCATCCCCAGGACTGGGGGGGGTGAGAGGCGCATGCTGCTGACGGGGGATGCGGGCCACAGAACCCTAACTGCGTCTTCCCCCCATGAGCCCACGGTCTCCTTCCCCAGGAGAAACCGAACACCGGCCGGCAAGCGACCACCATGAGGACATTCAGAAGACTCGCAGCAGCTCTGTCCCAATAGCCCAAGCAGAGCACAAGCCAGGCGGCCCGCGTCAGGACACCCATCAAGGGACGGCGGCATGTTCGGGGAGCGCAGACGCCCCTCCACAGAAACTCATCCACCGACACGGGCTCCAAGAGCACCATGCCACGCCAAGTGACATGCCACTGTGCGCTTGGGAAGACCTTACGGACGTCTGAAAACGGGCAAAGCTAGTGTCCAGGGCAAAGGACGCCGGGGCTGCCTGCTGGGGGCGGGGGCGCTGGCTGGGAAGGGAAGGGCCGGGCTGGACGTCAATGCTCGCTGTCAAACCTGGATCGGTGCAGGTGACGCGGGAAGACCACAGGTCGTGACCCACTAAGTCACAGTTCGCTGACAACCGACAGGGAGAAGCAGAGCTCCCCACCGGAGCCCACGCCAGCTGAGGAACAGAGCTTGAGCCTGACCCTGGAAGCCATCCACCGCGCTCTGCGGGCAGGGCTGGTGTGGGGTGGGGGGGTACTGCCCACGGAGAACCCCAGGGCTTCTCCCCGGGAGGTGCCTACTGACACCAGGCAAGGACAGGACTCTCTGGGACAAAATCACCAGAATGAACACAGAAAAAGACAAGAAGCCAGTGAATTCATCAGTTCAATGCTCCCACAGAGAAAGGCCCAGAACCAGGGGCTTCCTGGTGTAGCGCTGCGCCTGGGGGAAGGGAGACCGTTCTGCCACCAAGGCCTGCAGAGTGCTTCCCAACCAAGCTGGGGGCGGCCGAGTCGCCCAGATGCGTGTGCAGGAGGCCTGCGGTGGGTGGTCAGAAGGCCTGAGCGGACCAGACCAGCCTGGCTCACGGAGCGTCTGTGCCGTGTTTCTGTGATGTGAAAACACCAGCTTGCAGAACGTGACGTGGCTCTGTGGGTGAAGCTCGTGGGAGGCGAGCACGTGGCCGGCTGCTTCCCAGGGACACACACACGCGGCCCGCAGTGAAGCCACCACACCCGGGCTTACCTGCTCTCCTCCTGCGCTTGGCGGGGGCTCGGGGCGTCACGGGGCACTGGTACACAGCAGAGCTCAGACCCGCAGCGACGGCCTCGATGGTCTCGTCCAGAAGAGAAGACATGAGGTACCGAGGGACATGCTACATGGAAAGGAGGGTGCCGTCAGCGGGGCGACCGCCCATGTGCTTCTCACACAGCTCCCGTGCCCTGAGGAGGACTCCGGGCAGGACCCCAGCAGGGGCGGCACTACCTGGGAGCCCCTGAGGGACCCTGTGCCAGCCCCACCAAACCGACCACGGAAGCTGGACGCCCTTGGCCTGCCAGTAACAGACCTAGCGTGTGTGCCCTTCTCGCCTCCGACAAACGCTGCGCGCTTCCAGCGGGCAGTCCGGGGCCTGGGAGGGCCTCCTGAGAAGCGAGTCAGGCTGAGAATGAAGGGTGATGAGGAGCCGGCTGCGCAGGCTCCCGGCCACGGTGGGGGCCCAGGGAGATGGGACGTAAGGCGGACACAGGAGAGAGGGAGGCAGGACTGCAGGCATCTGTGACGGGGCGGTGGGGCAGAAGCCTCCACCAGGTCCTCTCACCCCCTCCATCAGCGTGATGCTCTCCCCAAGCAGCTGGACAGCAGAGAAGAGCCCCCCGCCCCACCCCCCGCCAGGGCTGTCCGTGGCTGGTGTTGCCACAGGGCCCTGCACCCCGAAGGGCCGCGTCGGGCACGGCTCCACAGTGGGACCGGCAGCCTCAGCAGCGGGCGCCCACCTGAATCCTCCTGGCGGTGGAGATCCGGTTCCGGTTCACAGTCGCTCGGACCCTCTCGCTCTGCCGCGTCCTGGCAATAGCGCGGGTCCTCCCTGCGTGGGGCCGAAGCCGGCTGGTGGTGGGCACCACGTCCGCCAAGAGCAGGGAGACCTCCTCCTCACTCACAGGACCCGCATCTGGGAAGGAGGAGCATCCTGGACTGACGTGTGTCCGCCGTGGCCTTGGCCTGGCAGGGGGCATCTCCCCGGGGTCCTGGGCTGCCCTGACAGAAAACCCTACAAGTTCTCCCAGAAGGTGAGAGGCCCCCGAATGCTCCCAGGCTGGGGGGGAGGCGGTGCCTATACCTGCAGCGGGAGCAGCTCCAGGCGCAGCGCATTCCGGACAGAACCACTCATCCACTGGCACCTCCTGGAGAGGAGGGTCCAGACACTCCATGTGGTACCTACAGGAACGAGCAGCAGACAGGGGCTTTAGCACCACTGTCACAACCCAGGGAGCCACCACCATCATCCTGATGTGTCCCAAGACTGCAATGCCCCCGCCGTAGACTGAATCGTGACCCCCCCAGTCCCCATGTCGAAGCCCTAATACCCACAGTCATTGCATTTGGAAATGGGGTCTCGGGGGTGGTGAGGTTACCTGAGATCATGAGGGAGGGGCCCTGACCCACGGACCGGGGTCCTTGGGAGAGAGAGGGACCCAGTGCTCCCTCTCCCCACTGGAGAAAGGGCCTCGAGCACACAGCAAGGTGCTGTGGGCAGCTTCCGCCTGGAACATCTCACCAAGCCGACCTTGGGGACGTGGTGCAGGCCGGCCTGCTCGAGGTCCACGTGCATCAGACGGGAGACACAAGGCTCCCCATCTTCCTCATCCTTCCCTGGGGCATGCTGGCTATCTCTGCCCTCCAAAGGGGGCCCAACGGCTCCTGAATCCTCCACAGGAGGTGTACTGCGTGGAGGGATGGACCAGGTGGCCTCGTGATGGAGGGCAGCTCCATCCCGTGGGGGCGTGCGGCCAACCGTGGCAGGTACCCTGCACCTGGAGCCTCAGCTTGTCCTTCCCGACCCCACGGTCGCTCGGCAGCCCCGAGAGTTTCAAATGTCGGCACCTCATACTTCACAGCCCAGTCCGAGGAGCCAACGGAGAAAGGCAGGCTCTGTGTGCTGAGAGCAAAGAGAAATGGGGCCTAAGCCCAGTCTCCCAGTGGCTTCAACCCAGCCTTCGATGAAAGCAGCTTGGGAAGATTCACTTCGCTGCTGGCATGGGCTGCCATGCCAGCCTCTCCACCTTCACGCCAAGACCCCAGACAGCCCCGAGCCAGACGGACACCCAAGTGGAATCCCCACTAAGTCCCTGAAGACCTGAGCCCAGATCCTGAGCAGCTGAAGGACCACCTGCTGGTCACAGCGGGGGGAGAACGTGAGGACCCAGGAAGCCAGGCTGGGGGGGACCTCAAAAAAGGGCCACAGGGACGGGAGCGGGGGCTGGGAGGCCCCTCCTGGAAGGCAACCCGGCCAGTCCAGGCCAGCATCAAGTCCTGGGGAGCACCCCAACACCCCAAGTAGATCCCAGCCTCAGAAGATCCTTCTGAGAGCTCTGTGGTCGCAGGAAGAGAATCAGGAATTGCGTAGCTTCTCACAAAGCACTCCAAGGACCCGACACGGCTCACTCCATGTTTTCCTCGGGCCAAGGTCCAGGGCCTCGAGGGGAGGCCGCTGCTGTGTGACAGGTGCCCGGCCGGCCAGCCTGTGTCCAGCGCAGTCCGTGCACAGGCAAGACTGGCTGGGGACTCACACGGAGGGAGGGTCACAGAGCAGCCACCCGGACGGGGGCACAGCTCCCGTCCCCAATTCCCCACACGGTGGGGAAGACCAGGCACCCAGAGCTGACCTCCTGCCTGCAAGGACCACAGTGACGGGACGCAGTGACGTCCTCAATGGCTTCCCTGGTGACTCAATGCCTTTCCATTAAACTGCAAGTTTCAAAAAATCAGGGATAATCTGTCCTTCACTTCTGGTAATAGTGAAAGATCTGTCACACACATTTGTGTATCGACAGCCTTGTGACTCCATTTCCAACGTAACGGAGTCATTTCAGGTGAAAGACAAGCGACAACGACAGGAAGACTCGGCAGGCGGCGGGTAAGAGCGGTGTAAGGGCTCCTGGAGGCATGAGACCCCTATTCACTTATCTTAAAGTTTTAGATTCACCAGGATTTTTACATACTTGAGCTTTCTTACCTGCTAAATAATTCAAGCACGGAAAATACAAAAATCGATACATTAAATTCACAAACATATTTTATAAGAGTAAAAAAGTTAACAAAGTTGTAAGGAGTCCCGACAAGACTCTGTCAGTTTCTAGGGTTACAAAGAGACTCTGGGGTAAAGAACTGAGGCCGTGGGCCCAATTCAGAAGTGGCAGGAAAACAAGCCGCCCCGTGAGCAAACGTTCCAACGGCCTCACCTGGGCTCTCTGGCCACTGTGGAGACCACGAGAAGGCACCTGAGTCTGGCATCCAGCTGGGGCGCCCTGAGCTACAGAGCTGAGGCCAGTGGCCGGGACCACAGAGAGTCCTTCCCACCTCGGATGGCCTCTCCTGTAGCACCCAGCTGCTCCAGGCCCCAAATGGCCACGAACATGGGGGGAGGACTGGTTTCGCATGGAAAGCGAGCTCTGAGAGCTCAGAGCTCAGCCCCAGGGCCCCACAAGACCGTGTTTCTTCAGCTTCCGGCCAGTACTCCGGCAAGCCCGTAAACGAGGCACAGGGATGGCAAGAGCAGGGACTGGCCTTGAGGGTTTGCAGGACACCGAAGGCACCCCTCTCCTGTCCCCCAGACTCCTAGCGACCAAGGAGCAGGGGACAGTCAGACACGGCCACCCCCGGCCCCCCAGCTGGAGCACCCCGAGTGGAGCACTCACACGGCACGCACGCTGGCAGCCCCTCGTGGAAGGGCGCACAAGCAGAGCGTGCCAGCTTCGAGGGCGGCACCAGAGAGGGAGGCCCCGGGCAGGGGTCAGAGCCTGGGCCAGCCCGCAACCGAACAAAGCGAGCACCTCCAGGGCCGGCTCTGAGTCCCCAGGGCTTGAGACTTCCCCCTGCTGCCTCTCAGCCGAATCCTGAAAAGGGCTACCTGTCGCCCAAGAGGAAATTCCAGACCTGCCAGCCCCATGGGACTCTCTCGTGACCGCCTGTGCCGGAGATGCTGCCGCAGCCCCTCACCACAAGCTTACAGACTAATCTGCAGACGTCCAGTGGCAGCCCCTGTGGGAGTCCCTGAGAAGAGGAACCACGATGGAAAGAGGCTGGGCAAAGGCTCCCGGGAGCCAGAGCCTGCTGGACACAGGGGTCACCTGACCTCATAAAAGGCGGGGTCCCACACAAGTCCTTTGTCTGGGCCCCCGGGGCTGCTGACCGGCCCCACAGACCCCACTTCTCGTTTCCCTCAGCTTTTCTGTCTTGATGTGGTATGTGCCTCTCTGTACAGAGCCTCGCGATATTTGGAGGGAACAGGCGGAGGGTATCAACGGAAGGGACAGAAGCGCCGGGGAGGTCTGCCGGCTACCAACCGGCGGCCTGGGATTCAGATGCTCCCGACACAGCGGACTTGGCCTCAGCGACCGCAACAGTGAACGGCGGTGGGGAGGAAGCCCAGAACACAGGGCCCTCTGGAGCCACCACGAGGAGGGCCCCAGGCTCACCCGGCGTCACAGCCATCACAGAGGAGCAGACGGTCCTCTCGGTCACTCCTGCCGCACACCTCACAGAAGGTTGGGTCTTCTTCCTCATCCTCTCCAGCTCTGGCATTCTCCACTGGAATCTGTGAGCAGGAAAGCACCACTGGTCACACGGCAAGTACAGCCCAAACCGCGGAGCAGACTGTGCAGCCTCTCCCTGCTGGTGGCGGGGGGTGGGGGGGCGCGCAGAGCAGAGGGAGCCCGCAGCCACAAGTCAGGACACTGGCACTGGAGCGCGAGGAGGGGGAGCAGGACAAAAGTAGCAGGCCTTTCCTCTTGTGAGAATGACTGTACGACCCGGCAAAGACGGAGACACGGATGCCAAGGACACGGTCCTCACATGGGCCGCCGCACTGGGACAGTCCCAGCCCCGTGTGGGGCCGGTCCTTGACATGCAGGCTCGGAGATGTGGTCCTCAGAGCTTCTGTCATCTGAGCCTTCACGTGTGCTAGGTCTGGGGACACAGTCCCCTCAGATGGGACACCATCTCTGCACCCCACCTGTCTCCCCATGCCGCAGGGCACAGCCTCTGCCCCTCTCCTCCTCCTGTCACACACACACGGCCTTTTTCTCCAGAGCCGGGCAGGTGACTCCCGCACCATGGCTCCTGGATCTTCTCCAGCCGGGCTCGCTCGTGGGCCGCTAGGACCTCTGCACACCCAGCAAGGGGTTGGGGTCCACTCTGGGTAAACGGAGGCTGCCCACCGGACATGGGAGGCGCTCCCGGGCGGAGGAGAGCAGAGCGCCAGGGCCAGAACCACAGCTGCCAGGAGCCCCGCGTGCCTCTACAGAGCACACACCTAAGAGCAAAGGAGAACCTCTGAGGTGCCCTGCGCACGGCCCTGCCCAGCACCGTCGGCCGTGTGGGCGCTCCCGCGTCTGCCGTGGCACCATGAGAAGAGAAGTGGGGAGGCGGAGAGAAGGCAGGTGGGAGTGGGGAGGAGGACGTCGGAGAAACTGCCACCGTCTGCTCCACCCAGAACCAGCAGCAAAGGCAGCTCCTCCATCAACGGGTGTCGCCCCTACAGGCTGCAGAGGGCCCGCAGTGGCTCTCTGAAAAGCACTGGGCCAACACAGATCCCTTCAGGAAACCGACGGGCCCTGCAAGCACGTTCTCCCCTCATACAGGGACCGACGTAACAGGGCGCGGGCGTGGGGGCTCGACCGCTGCACCTCCGCTTACCTTCTTCAGGATTTTACCACCAAACCGGGCTCGAATACAAATACACTTAAACACAGTTCGGTCGACTGGACAGGAATTGGCATTCTGTAAGAGATAAAAATTGTGTCAGGATCCCACAGGATCATTTTCTCCATTCAAAATAAAGAATTCCCTCAGAAGGCAAAAACTCATTATAACCTGATCATCCAACCTTCACTTAACACCCAGCCCAGGAGGTACAGGGGCTCCCGTCCTGCCCCGTCTTCGGTCTGACCCTCGGGCACCCGTGGCGAACCTCGCTCCCAGCTGGCCTCGTTTAAGTCCTCCCGGTGGCCCCGGTGCGGGGTTAGGAGCCCTTCCCTGTCCTGACAGGTGCCCCGCATCTTCTTGCGAAGGCCTCAGAGCACAGCTCGCTCGCTTCCAATCTCGAATCCAGGGGATGCTGTGTGCGCGCCACAGGCCGGGCCCTCTTTCCTTCCATCTCACACACGTGGACCGACCCGTCTCTCCCTCGTGCAAGATGCTGCCTGCTGCCCACCTTGTGTGGCTGGCCCTTCAGGTCCCCACCATGCTCCCAGGGCCTGGTCTCCATTCCCGGAGCAAGGCCGGTGTAGTCAGTATAGTTTCATAAGTCTTAATATCCAGGAGGTGACTTCTCCCGTTCTTGAAAGGACCGGCAATTCTTGGTATTTTCCGTCCCTCCTCTCCACACTTCACAATGCCTTGAGGGCCCAGGAGCCCCGGGGTCGCCATGGCCATCTGTTGCAGCTGGGTCTTCCCCTCCAGACAGTGCTTTCTTCATTCAGACTCAACCGTTTCAGAAAAGGTCTTCATAGGTCTCACGTGTCTTCTTAGGACTCGCTTCTGAGCGTGACTTTTCGTCTGTTTACCTTGTGCCCAGCGATCGGCCGCGCCCCCACTCGGACGGTTCTTCTGGAAAACATCTATGCTGACAAATTCACCGGTGACGAGTACCTTTCCTACGTGACACTTCGGCCTGTGTTTTCTCCTTCTGCTAATCCAGTGTGACACCAACTAGAAAACCAGCACCTTGTCAGGCTCCTCAGTTTACAAGGCTTTGGTTGCGAAAAAAATCTAACCCTTAATCTAACCTGTGCCAACGGGTCCAGCCCCACAGGAGAGGAGCGAGGAGCGTCGGGGGCAGGGAAGCCCTGGGACGACACCAGTGAGGCAGCAGACAGGTGGCCTCGAGGGCAGCACAAACGTGGCCGAGGTCCAAACTCCTGAGACGTCTGGGAACACGGGGAGCAGGACTGGGCTGTGGGGTTACTGCTAACCTCCCGAGGGGAGGTGGAGGCATGGAGTTCCACTACAACCACACACAGCATCCATGTGGGTCAAGTTCCAGGCTACGCAGAGGACAGATGGCTCCTGAAGGTGGGGATGGGAGGGGTGGGAGCGCACATCACTTCTCCTGTCCTCTTCTTCGTCTTCAGAATTTTTCACAGTGAAGTTTAAAAAGTCGGAAGAGGGTTACTACGGCTCCAGTTCACCATCGGGCGAGGCGGGGGCGCCTGGGGGGCTCAGTCAGTGACGCGTCTGCCTTCGGCTCAGGTCACGATCTCAGGGTCCTGGGATTGAACCCCGCATCGGGCTCTCTGCTCAGCGGAGGGCCTGCTTGTCCCTCTCCTCCCCACCTGTGCTCTCTTTCACTATCTCTTTTCTCAAGTAAAATCTTCTAAAAATTAAAGTTCTTCACGCACTATACGGTTTCTGATACGCCTCCTTTATCTGTCTTCCAGCGGGCTCCCTGTCCTGCTGGTCATCATGACCCGGTGCTGAGCTCCGTCCCACGCTCTGTCTGTGGGGTCACGGCATACCGGGCTACCTCTGCCAGCCACAGGATTCCCGCACACAGATCCCCACGGGGCACTGACCCAGAAATAACGTCTCTCTCCCGCCTCCTCACCCCATGCTCCACGGGCACATCACCCCACACTGAGCTTTCCTGGAAACCCCAAGAGTCAGGAGCACACCAACCAAAGTGAAGATCACACAAGGACCCGATGCCACGGCCTCCATGTCTACTGCGGAACAGAGAGCACCACCGGCAAGAGGCTGGCCAACTGCAGGGTCACTCGTAAATGGAGAGAGGTCACCCTGAAGGAAGGAAGGACCCCAGAGAAGCCGCCTACTCACCTTGGACCATTCGACGATACAATCCAGGCAGAAATAATGGGCACAGCTCTCTGGGGTCCCCACAGCCTGGTCCCTGAAAGTATTGAGACAAATCGGGCAGCTCTCGGAATCGTCATCAGAACTGAAAGCGCCACTGGCTTCCAACTTCCCCTGAGCGTCCACCACAGCCACTAAGGCCTCCGCGCCCTCTTCTCCTCTTCCTCCTCCTTCTTCAGAGTCTTCCGAACCTTGAAAAAGGAGAAACGTGACTTTGTGAGCTGGAGCCCCGGAAGCAAACAGGCCACAGCAGCATGCAGGAAGGCATGGTTCTAAACCCTACACTCAGGGGACAGACACCTTTCTGATGCCCTGCTCGACAGGCCCACCCCTGGGCAACTCACTGAAGTGGCTTCCGAGCTAAGAGGATGGGACGCGGGCTGAGTGGCCGTCCCAGCTCCACAAGCCCCTCCCTTGCTGCGGAAGCCAAGCGCTCCCCATCAGGGCAGCTGCCAGGGGCCCGCCCCCGTCTGACAACTGCCCCTGCGGAGCACAGCAGCCTCCAGAGAGGGCCACACCCCCCCCCCAACCTTCCCCCAAACACGGTCTTAACAGACCATCTGCCTCCACACGAGACCTTCCTTACAGGTCTTTTGTGTTTTTTCTTTGGGGATGTAGGGACCATGGGTTCCTAACTGGGCAAGATGGCTGTAACAGTTCTGATCAATTTCTGAGAGGTTCTGGGGCTGGATCTGGACCAGCAAAAAAGGGAGACACTGTCAGTTCAACGCAGCAGTCAACGCATGCAAACTCCATGAGAGGTTCAAGTTCACTTGTGTGGCAGGAGGGTCCTCACAGGGCTCAGGACACAGCCACACCCAATCCCTTCCAGGGCGGACAGAACCCGGGTCTCCCCTACAGGCCTGCTGCTGCGTGGCCGAGGGAAGTACTCCTTGCCCAACAGGTGCACCCTTTAAAAGCCATTTTCCCCGGCTGGCTGCAGAGAAAGAAGTCAGAGCGATATGCGCCCGCCGGCACGCAGGCAAGCCAGCAGCGATGTGGCCTGCCGGTCAAGGGAGTGGCCTTCAGGAGCGGAGGACAGTCCCCCGCCGACAGCCAGCCAGAGCTCACGACTTCAGCCCTACCCGCTCAAGCCTCCAAATTCTGCCAACAAGCAGTGCCCTTGGAGGAGGACCCTGAGCCTCAGGTGGGCCCTGTAGCCCGTGACCCCCGATGTCGGCGAGTGAGATCTGGGCAAAGGACCAGCAACGCACACCCGGACTGCAGACCCTGGAAAACACTGAGATTACGAGCACACTGTTCCAAGCTGCTGGTTACACAGCAAGAAAGCAATACCTAATGAAACTGGTATGCAAAAGTTCTAGAAAAGGGCATGGGGGAAGCTGCCTGAGAACGGGCTTCTCTCAGCCTTCCTGCTTTGCTAAGGGCCGAGCCAGCAGAAGGGGGTTGAGTCCGGGCGGTCAGATTCTCCCTATGGAATTCCAAAAGGCAAAAGAATTGGCCATCTCAGGGCCACGGGACCCTGTGTAGTCCCTGGGACGGTGCTACGGCAATGAGGGACGGTGACCTGCAATGACGGGAGTGGTAAAGACCCATGCGGGTGTGCAGGGCCCTGAGCCATCTACCTCCGTTCACCCCTCCTCAGGGGCTGCTGACGACGGTCCTGCCTCACTAGGGGATCAGTGAGGAAGGCGCGGACGAACGCAGATTCCCCAAGAAGGGCACGGTCCATGCCGGAGCCAGAGATGGGGGTGCCCGGGGGCTGCACCCTGAGCAGGCCACTGTCACTCACGGTCCCACATCCATCACAGCTCCCTGTGGAGCAGTGCGCACTCGGCCTGGAGGCTGGGGGTGAGGCCACAGATCAGAGCCCAGTGTTCTCAGTTTTTGTGGTAAGACTTTACTAATACATTTTTTTAAAGATGTATATATTTTTTAAGATTATTATTATTATTTTTTTGACAGACAAGAGAGTACTAGCAGGCAGAGAGGCAGGCAGAGAGAGAGAGGGGAAGCAGGCTCCCTGCTGAGCAGAGAGCCCGATGCGGGGCTCGATTGCAGGACCCCGGGATCACGACCTGAGCGAAGGCAGCGGCTTAACCCACTGAGCCACCCAGGCGCCTTAAAGATATATTTTTAAAAAGACTTTATTTATTTGTCAGAAAGAGAGAGAACACAAGCAGGGGGAACAGCCAACAGAGGGAGAAGCAGACTCACCACTGAGCAAGGAGCCTGACGTGGGGCTCTATCCGAGGACCCTCAGATCATGACCAGAGCCAAAGACAGAGGCTCAACTGACTGAGCCACCCAGGGGTCCCAATAATATATATTTTTAGAGATTTTTTTATTCCAGAGAAAGAGAGAATCCGCATGCGGGTGTGTGCAAGAGGGAGGGGGAGGGGGAGAGGGAGGGGGAGAGGGAGGGGGAGGGGGAGGGAGAGGGGGGGGGAGGGGGGGGGGGAGGGAGGGGGAGGGGGAGAGGGAGAGGGAGAGAGAGAGAGAGAGGGAGAGGGAGAGAGGGAGAGAGGAGGAGAGGGAGGAGGAGAGGGAGAGGGAGAGGATCTCAAGCAGACGCCCCACTAAGCGTGGAGCCTGGCGTGGAGCTCGATCTCAGGACCCCGATATCATGACCTAAGCCAAAATCAAGAGTCCGACACTCAACTGACTGAGCCACCCAGATGGCCCTTTCCAGTAGGTAATACTTGAAGTTGGAAAGTCAGCAGCCCACAATCAAGCCAGCCGTTTACAAGACGAACACTACGACAAGAAAAGCAAAAAGCAGAAAGAGCTGCTCTGGGAAGGGCCAGGCCCGCAGGGATATAGGAAATGCGCGTTCAGGAGATTCCCCTTCTCAAGGTCTGACTACACTTCCCAGAACCTGCTAAGGACAGGCCGCCACCTGTTAGAAAGGCTGGTGCCGCAGGAACAAAGGGCACTCCCGTAAGCAGACAGGCCTGCGAGCCACGAACAGGGCCTCAGTGCTCTCCCTCCCTGTAGTACCTCCCCACCTGCAGGCCTGGCACCTGCATCTCCCTCCCTCCTGGGCACTCGGCTCTGTGCCACCTGTCCGTTTACAGCAGCACTCAGTCCGCTACCGCCAGCCCCTGCCTCCTGTCTTCACAGCACAGCTTAGACGGGCCTCTCTGGAAGCTTCTCCTCACCACTCCAGGCCCACAGAACCGCTCTTCTGGCGATGCCCCTATATACCCACTCTTGCCATGGATTGCCCTTGTTATAACCACTTCTTTACGCCACTGTCTTTGCTGCTAAGTGGTGAGCTCAGGAACAGCAGGTCAGCGGCCTTCTGCACTCCCCCCGGGCCCCACCCAGATTCTCTGGCATCCAGCAGGCCCTCAAACCTTTGCTGGAGGGACGAACCTCCTGCCTCCAGACCTGCCAAGGCCAAGTGTCTGTGCCTGAGACTTGCTGCAGGTCAGCCCAAGGCCACACGTCAATCGTGGGGGACAATCAGAAGAACTCTATTCGTGACCCGCAAACCAGAACATACTTTCAGGTCCCTGTGTACAGCACCCAAAATCCAACTGTGGACGAGTAAGTCACCAACACACACAAAGTTGCAAACTCACATCCGCTCATGCTGCTGCAACCCTGTTCCTTCAGGAGCCGTTACCTTTCTGTAACATTCTAACACTGCCAACTGCAAGAGCCCGAGAGACCGTGATATGCAGATGGTACTTGCTTTAGGGCCATGCCTCTCTCCCGGCTTGATGAGTACTTCCAAAGCCCAGCACCCTATCAGCAGTTAGGGCCAAGTGCGCCCTCCTTCTCTGGAAGGTGAGCACAGCTGGTCTCAGACAGGGTGGCCCGGCCTGGGGGCCTTGGGAAGCCATGCAGCAGCCAGGGTGGCTAGAGGGACAGGGAAGGAGGTGCTGTGAGCCCAACCACAATCCCTTATGGCAACATTCCCTATGCAGAAGTTCAAGGGCACAGAAGTCAACTGGCACGAAGGTGCTAGGAATTCCTTAATAAAATCACTTCCTGCACTTGTCAGCTCTCGGGGTCTCTGGTCAGAAGAATGAGAGGAAGCTCCACTGAGCTGGCCTGTTGAGAGTTCTGGCCAGGTGGCCCTGGGCCACAGCAAGCCTCTGCTCACTGTGCCGGCAAATCCACTCCATTGGGCTCACCCCAGAAAGACCCCAGTTTGTGCTGCTCCACGTTCCTAAACATTGTAATCTTTAACGAAGTTGTGCTGTCAAACTGAACTCTGAAACAAAGGGTTACAATGAACATGAGCCCTGACCCGGCGGAAGGTGAGGCCGGCAGGGGAGCCTCTCCCCAGTTCCTTGCGGCCCTCCGCTGGCCAGTGTGGACAAGCCACCAACTCCAGCACCGTTCCATAAACAGCGGTCCCCGTCACGGCGAGGGAACACAGCAGGCCGCGTGAACGGCGGCACTCTCACCGGACGGGTCCTCCAGGCCCCCATCCTCGTCCTCTCCGTCCGTGCTGCAGCTGCGCTCGCTGCCCGTGTCCTCCTCAGAGCCCCCGCCAGTGCCGTCACTGCTTTCTTCTACAGCAAAAGAAGTGGAGAAGGGGCCCCGAGAAAGTGTCACAACCAAGGCAGCGAAGAGGGACGCCGCCTCCCGGAGGCACGAAGGTGCCCGACGCGCCCACCAAGGGGACTATGAGCAGCTGCCCACATGGGTGGGGACAGAGGCAGGGGAAGCACAGCCTCTCGCTCTATTTACATCTGTACGGCTCAGCTGAACGGTAAGATAAACGTAGGTACCCCTCATGCAGAGACAATAACTTAGAAAAAGGAGTAAAAGTTGGGG